CCGTTACCCGTTATATATATATATATATATATATACTCTCAAAATCTAACTAAACATATTTACTGTAACTACATATGGTAATCAAACTAACAAGTGACATTGCTATGTGGTAATTTTATCAATTTTTTTCCTTGATTGTTTTTTTTTTCTATTTGTGCTCCCTGATTGAAACTGTTAAGAGTTTGGATTGACCATGTTGTAAAAACATATAAAAGAGAGTAAGATAATTTTGTATTTCATCGTAGGTAGAAATATTGTTAATGGAGGTTGATGAATTTCTATGCTAAAATGAACTAAAAAATGAGGAAAATTATTGAATTAACGAAATTTTAATTTTTTATTTTTTAATACTTTATGGTTGTAATATGAATTGTAATAACAAAAATTCTTCTAGAAATTTTCAAATATAGTGCTATCGTTTTCTTAGTTCAATTTTATGTTCATTTTCTTCCTTTCTCTCTAATAGTTTCGTTTCTCTTTTTGTGGTCCAATGACACTTTAAATAAAATATTATATTATTTTGACTTTTACATTTTACAATCTACATTATGTTGTGTTAGAATATGTTAGATTATTTAGAATGTTGTTAGATTATTTAAAATATTAAATTTATTTAAAATTTTAGATTATATTACTTGGGCTTGGACTTAGGCTTAGGCGGGTACGAGGGAAGCGGGGACGGAAACGGAGATTAGAAATTTACCCGCAGACAGTGATGGGAATGAAAACTATACCCGTTAACAGGGGTGGACTGGGAATGGACGAAATTATTTTAAACGGGTATGGGAATGAAGACTACACTCCACGTCCCCGCTTCAGTCCATTTACATCCCAAATCTCATCTTTGGGTTTGGACAAGCCAATCCCAACCCCTCCCAAAAAACATATCAAAGAGACCCTTAAGGTTTTAAGTTTGAGTCTCCAACAAGTTTATTCGTTCCCAATCTGAGTAGTAAACTGGAGTGCAAAAAGGGTAAGATTGAAGGGGGGGGGGGGGGGGGGGGGGGTGGCGCTCGAGAGAGAGAGATTATAATTATATCATATAGAAGGGTTATTTACCATAAAGTATACTAACGATCTAGATTGTTTCAATCAAACAGTTTATCATAAACATGTTAACAACAGTATATAACAAACTTCTGCATGATGGATTAAAAAAGGCATATTTGCATGAAACTATGTATATATATATGTATGCGAGGCATTACCCTTGTTCTTTGAATTCTTCTTCATGATAGAGAGACTGAGAGAGACCACTGCAGCAAAATTTATGATCGAAATGCCAGCGGCTCTTGTGCGGGTCCTTAGGAAACTTCTTGTCCAGTGACCTTTAGCATTCAGCCAAAAAGATGCCTGTCAACTAGCAGCTGTATGTCCTTTTATAAGAGCTTCATCTGCCTATGATGCTGACGCTGACCTTAAGAGCTGCAATAAACCAAGAAAGTCAAATCAGTTTTTTATGAAAATAAATTCCTAATGGTGGTGAAGAGTCAAACAGAATGGTTTATTCAACAGCTTTCAACCCTAATTGGAGTGGATTGCTGGCATATGTGGAGCTTGACATTGATGTGAAGATTAAGAACAGGGGACGGAAAGTCTTATGCTGCACCAGGTAGTGTCAGGTTCCCATGCACCAGTCCACGATAATCTCGGTGAGTATAGCTGTTAAATGATCCGAGCATAGTGAAAATGTTTACTGAGAAATTGAGCTTGGTTTCAGCTCAAGCTCAAGCTCGGCTAGTCACAAACAAGTCAAGCGTGGATGTACGCAACCAAGCTCCACTTTTTGTTTTTTTTTTTATTAACACTCCTATCAGTGAAAATGGACGGTAAAACTAGTTAAGTTGACTCCTTTTATCTATCCTCACTGCGCTATAGCCCAATACTAGAACAAGAATCCCTAGGAGAATGGGAGTGCTCTTACTTGCATGAAGACAATAAACCAATTTTGGCTACAACATGTTATAAAGTGTTTGATGTGGACTTACCAGCTTAGTGAAACCTATAGATTCTTAGTTTTCAGTAAAACACTGTTACACAGATGTCTACCAAGCCATTAGCCATAAACAAGTAAACCTATAGAGCCTTAACTTATAGTCGAGCCAAAAGAATGACTAAAGACCTTTTCCCTGAAGAAGATTGAAAGAAAAGGTCAAGATATTTTTACCCTCAATAAAGACAACGCACTGAAATGATAATCTGGATCCCAAAAAGTAACAAGAATAACATATGCCATGGTGCATGCAATTGATAGCAGAAAAAGTTTCTTAACATTTGAATTATGATATCAAAGCTGCATATCTGAGCCAATTACCATTGTTGAGTATGATGTTGGACACTTGAATTCCAGGCCCGTGCGACCCTTTGTGTTGCTCATAATGCTTGGAGCTACTTCAGCCAATTAACCTCAAAAACATGCTTAACTGCATCTAGCATAAACTTCCAGTCGCTGATAGTCCTCAACAACATTCCAGTAACAGCTCAGTCCTTTTGGGCCATGCAGTAACTACTTCAAAATAGTAAAGAGCATATGTTACAGCCACTTGCATCTGACAAATCAAAGCCACTGCATTGGAGAACATGAAATTGAAAAAAGCATTATATCGATGGGGTATTCTGCTGAGGCTTCTGTATGTGGGACACCTGAATAGCAACAGATGTCATCTAAAGAACATATTTTTACTCTTTTTTTTTTCTTTTTTATGGAATGGTAATTATCAGAAGTTAAAAAAAAGGGAGCTCGCAAACAAAATTACCTATAAAAACCAAACCAGTTCAAAACTTCATGTACCTGCTGGTAGAAGTGCAAGAATTTATTGTTTTATATACTCTGCTAGCTATTTAAACCAGTGGGCTTTCAGAAATTCAACAAATGAGAATACTGAAGAACCAACTGGTGAAACACCCAGGTCTAACCCAAGAATTCCACCTTTTCTTAACTGCAATAGTAGAAAGTAAAAGTCACCATCACCTGTGATGATACCTGACTAATCTTTACCACCGATTGGAGATTGTACGGGAGTACTAAAAAACAAGTGAAGTTGGTCTCAATGAATGCTCCATGACCTTTTCTGGAAAAAAAAAAGAGTCAGCAAATATTCTGATCAAAAAGTCCATATGAACGATTGAAATCCATCAGCAAGCAATCATCCTTGAACCTTTTCTCTTAGGATGATTCCTGAATTTATAGACAAATGAAAATCTAGGAATCTAACCGCCAACTTCTAGTGGGAAAACCAAGTGACTGCAGTACAAACCAATCCATGTCTACCTCACCAGTAATTAGACACAATTGCAACTTGTCTAGCAGATCAATCAGTTGACATGACCTAAAGGTGAAATAAAGATATCCTTAATGAAGCCAGTAAGAGAATGTAACTGTGCACCCTCTGTCCTGAGGTCTGGCATTGCGCTACTAACTCCCACCCAGAATAGTTGCTACTCTAAATCTTCCTTGTTAGCTAGTAGGAAAGATTAGTCGAGAAAAACAGATGCATTAAAGTATATCAATAGTCAAAAAGTTCAATCCAGAAAAACTGATGCTTTCTTCTACTAGAAGGCAAACTAAAAACCTGCCAAGTGAACAAATGCATGCAATGTAAAATTCTGCTTCTGATGTGTATGTACATATCATGCAGAAACAGTCTACTTGTATACAGAGATAAGATTACGTACATCTACTAAGAGAGCTTGTAGTCCACATCAAAAAAACAACCAAGGTTTGATTTTATACTTGAGGGACTATTCCACCCATTGCCAATTAGTTTTGGATTGGATTCTTTAACATGGTATCAGAGCTACACCTTGGTTGATCAGTGGGCCAAGTGTCTTACCACTTGAATTTTTTGGAATGTATAGTTGTTTGTTTGTTTGTTGACCCCACATGCAAACCCGAGTCCTAGATAATGGAGGGTGTTAAGAGAGTTTGTATCTCACATCGAATAATTAGGACCACTAAAGTTAGATTATATACTAGAAGGTCACTCCACCTATTGTCAATTGTTTTCGATTAGATGCTCTAACACATCGAACTCACCCTCACACCCCGCATCTCGTGCATTGTGCTACCTTTTATGGTATACACTTTTACTTTACTCAGAAATCAATGTCAAGAGAGTGACCATTAAGAAATCAAATTCAATAGAAGGGAGCGGGGGGAAAAGCGAAATGTGTTCCACAATTTAATGGAAAGGAAAAATTATTTGATGAGATTCAAGGAAACTAAAAGCTTAATCTTCTCAAGCATTTTGTTTCACTAGAACATGAAACCTCTATACCACAAGTTTGAAAAAGTTCCTAGGAATCTTTTGAGGGGGGAATCAGGCAATGAGTACAAAATTCACCTACTCAAGCAGGATAGAACGTGATGTCCTGAATGAGGGAGTCCAGGCATAAGGAAATTCAGGATGTTCAATTTGGAGTTGCGAAGGCTGCTATTGGTAAAGAGTGGCTGATACAAAGTAAAGTAATAACAGAACCATTGGTTTCCTGGAGAACATTTTGACTAATGAGAAATAGGAAAGTTTCTCCCCTAATATGTGTAGCATGTATTAAGGAGGTGCTGGTGAATTACACTTTTGATTTGGTGTTAGGAAGCTAGGGACTAGTGGTTTCTCCTCTTTCCAGTTTTTGAAATTCAGCAGGTTATGCCTAATTGAAGTGTTGAGAAGTGGGAAGGGGGGCCAGGAAGGGGGCTTGCTCAAGAAGGAGAATCCTATTTCCTGTTGCCAAGCGGCCATATTGTGCCTGTGTGGTGATTAGGATGTTAAATAGGTGATTATGACTAAAACATTTGATGTTGAATGGTGATCTCAATCTCACAGGGAGAATCTCAGGAGAGAATGATCTTTGGGTGGACTTTAAGAACTGGGATTAGATTTTTTTATAGTTCCAAGGAAGCATGAACCCTTGTACAGATATTGTGTAGATGTAAAGTAAACAACAGAAACATAAAAAAAAATGCAAAATGAGAATGTAAACCAGTTTTTTAACAATTATGTGTGGAAACTACCACAAAAAATACAATGCTCCTAACATCGATTTTTTGAGTAATATTAAATCTTCAAGAATTACAAACAGAAACACAATTAACAAAGGGATACAAGGATAACAGAGACTTTCCTGTCATAATATTCATACACATATAGGCAATACCACTGACTTTATGGGAAAACGGTGAAAACTACCGGTTTGTACCATTTACCATATATGCAGGCAGAGACAAAACTTGAAATGAGATTATCCGATTGGAGTTTGATACTCCACTTAAGATCAATGGCAGCTCACCAAAACAAAAGAAACTGGAGATGTACACACCAAGTCCTTGTTAGGCAAACTAAATTTAAGAGCATTGGCTGATTAGTCATTTGTCAGCACCCATCTCCCTCCGCTTCAACTCTAATGCCATTCGCTCGTTCTCAAGTTTCCTCCTCTCATTTTCCATTCTCATTATTTCCAACTCCCGGTCCCTTTTCTCGCAAAACCTTTGCCACTTAAACCGTTCTCTCTCCAATTCCAACATCTGTGCCTGAATTTTTACCTTCTGTTCTTCTAACTGAAGAGACCGTTGATCCATCCACTGCTCTTGTAACATTTTTGTTTTCATATTTTCTGGTAATGCTTGATTCATATGAGCATTGGCATCTTGTGGCTGAGAACTGAAAGTTTTGTTACAATCTAAAAAATTCAAGGAATTACTAACACTAATATTTCCATGACCCAGGCAGTGTTTTATCCTCTTTGCAGAGCTCACCGGCATCTCATTTACACCCCTGTGATTCTCATGAAAGAAATGATTATCCTCACATTCATCATGTTCATCCACTTCTGCATCTTGCTCATCATCATCATCGGGATCATTTTGTGGTTGCCTCCTTACGTCATTGTTCTCATGATCATCTCTACTTCTAAGAGCCAAACGCAAAGAACGCTGCAATTCAGGATCAGGGAGCAGATGCAACCGGTTCCCATTATGGTAAGAACACATCTCTTCATAGTACAAATGCTTTGAGCTTAAAATTTTGCGAACCTCATCCTTTGCTTTCTCTGATATGTGATCCAACATGTCCAGAAGTGCCGGATTCTCAACAACGTCACAAGAAGTTCCCCTCCCAAGGATCTCATTAAGTCTCTTGTACCTTTTGTTGAGGTCATTGAATTTATCCTCACATTGCTGTGGCGAAACAAAATGACCCCTTTCAGCCATGACCTTCGAGACAGTTTTCCACTTACCTTTTTTGTGTAAATTCGCATATCTCCTTCTTGCCCCACCAGCACATTCAGCAGCAGCCTCCTCACCTATATAAGAAACAGAAGTGATTAAAAGTCTCACCATTATATCAGTCCATTTCACGCGATGCCATGGAGAAATCTTCTTCCCTCTAGTTGAATCAATGTGATCATCAGCAGAATCTTCCATAAAACTTGGCTCATCCTCATCACTAACATAATTTTTGCCCCTCTCTCCTTTAGAATGATCAGCCAAAGACATGGTTTGCTCACTATCCTGCAGGCTTCCTCTACTGAGAGGGAAACCCTCGGGAATCGTTGGATGATTCATTGAGGCTTGTCTGGGATGAGAATGATGTTGCTGATGGAGGATAAAGGGTGGTTGCTGCTGGCGATGAACTCGCATGGGGCCTTGCAAGTCAAGATCCCCATAAGCAGCACCACCAGTAATCATATTACCTGAAGACAAATTGTCTTCCATTGGCAGATCAAAACAACAATTCAAATCAAATATAAACCCATTTCCTTCCAAACCCTTGTCCAAAGGTGACTTTTTAATCTGCAAAAGTTAATTTATTAAAATTGAGATATGAATCGCTTTCTACTGACCCTCATTCAACAGCAGTCCTTTCTCCAAAAAAGCCATGTGTCTATAGTTCTAAAACTCTACAGCTCAGAAACAACCAAACCCATTTCAATTTTCTCCACAATCAAGCACATCCAACAGCACAATCACCAAAATGAGGGGAAAAAATTCATGAAGCAACCAACATGAAAGAAAATCAATAACGGAGTACAGCAAAAGAGGAGTAAAACAAATAAGTCAAAACATTACATGGAGCTGATGACCATAAAGTTGTGTGATTGTGAACTTTCATGCTATTAAGCCGAGGATCCGGAGGTGAAGGAACTCCTCTACTATTTTTATTTAGATGGAGAAGAAATGACAGAGACATGACTCGAAGTTTGCGGATACAATGTATGGGTGAATCTGGTGGGTCCATTTCTGAATACTTTATTGACGTACCAGAATTATACCGGGCATACTCTCAATTTAAGGAAAATAACGGGATGATATCTCAATATTTCCAAAATTACAGATCTTTTATCGACAATTTTCTTTAAAATCTTGGATGAAGCATTGGTTTACTTTCGCTTGATTTGACTGACAAATAGGACAACTCTTATCCTCTGTTTAGTCAGAGTGGTAAAAAATATGAATAATAGATTTTTTATTCTTGGAGAAAAAAATTATTTTTTTTATTTGGTACAATTAATGAAAAATTAGAGGAATTTTTTTTATTGCTTGATATTGGAGAAAAAATGGAAATAAATATATATATATATATGTACTTAATTTATCACTACACTCTTACATATAAAAAATAATTTTTAAGATTTAAAAATGTTTACTGTCGCTTTATTTAGTTATAAAAATAAATAATTATAAATATATATACTAAAAATAATAACTAAAATATATGTAATAAAATATTTAGAAGTATTTCTTGAGAAATGTAGAGGTTTTGAATTGGAATTGTGGTATAATATTTAGAAGTATATTTAAGTGAAAAAAAATTAATATGTTAAAATAAATAGCTTGTCTTCAATTTTTCTCACTTTTGGGAGGAAAAAAAATGATGGGCTACAGGAAAATATTTTCCTTCTAATTTTTTTTACTCCTATTTTTCTGTTGGAAGCAAAGAATGGGCAGCTTTTATTTTCATCTCATTTTTCTTCCACTATTTTTTATCCACCCAAGTTTCCATCAAAACAACACCAACTAAGTAAAATAGAGACAAACGTGGCCCGTGGGTGAGGGAGTTGTCCATATTATCCAAAAAAAAAAAGTATTGTACCGAAATTTATTATTTTTATATGTATTTTTATCATTATTAAGAGTGTTTTTATCTCTGTTGTTATACCAAAAAAATAATAATTATAATAGTAGTAACAGCACTCACAAAAATAATATTTATCTACAAAAATAATAAATTTTAGAGGTACGAAAAAAAAATAAAGATGATATAAAAATATTTTTTATTGTGTAAGTTCTGAAAAATGTGGTAATGATATTCTTCAAAAATAAATTAATTGACACAAGTTTATTTAATAATCAAAGAATGCTACCTAGGGATTCGTTTCAGTTCAATATCCTGTGAGACACTAAACCAACTAAAACATTTAAGATGGTTAGGTGTTCGATTTAAAGAATTCATGGTAGAAAATTAATTTCTCAAGTAAGAAATTCTTGTTCAAAAAATGAGAGTAAGAAATTGTTGTTTTACCATTGGAAGTTAATAACTAAAAATTCCAACTTCTTTTCTAATCAAGAGTATATTTTTCAAGTTTGAGTTTATTTTTCATGTTCATGAATTACATAATTGATTTGCGTATGGGATCCATATTTAAGAGGGCAGAACTATAATTGTAGTTATAGCTCAATTATATTAGCTTGTTCGACTGTTTTTTACAATGATTTGAGATAGCAATTTTTAGGACGAGCTCAATGACTGATCCTAAAATAGGGAACAACGTCATGAAAGGGTTAGGATACACCTGACTTATCTCCCTGATACTTAAATTAGTTTGTATTTGAGTTTGAAAGAATATACAGTACAAAGTTATTCTTAGTCATAAGCCTCAGTTTTATTTTATTGGAATATTTATACCTTTGATTGCAATGAGGGGTACCTATTCAAACTCCAACCCTAGGCTTAGTAGCTTGTATTTTTTGTCTCGAGTAATAAGTGTTAGTTCGTCACACCTCATTAATGCTAAGCAACTAGACATTCTGGTTCACATGTTGAAATGGACCATGCATTTATGACTCCATCCCCCAAAAATCAAGTGTTCTACCCCAATATTCGTAGTTTATGACCAATCATTTACGAGTAAACGCCAAAATCTCTGTTGGGACCCTCCCGGGAGGGCTCTTCCCCTATAGTAAGGGTCATACCTTGTCTTTTTGGTGGTTAGTCTTGAGTTTTTTAACGGATTAGACAACTAACGATGACTTATCATATCAACACGTTGCTTGAAGTTCATACATTGATGTCATTTACTACTCGGCATAGATTGAGTACACATTTTGGCCTGCACATCAAGCGTTCTATGATTGGTCTCTGCCTCAAGCATTCTTTGCGTAGTCATGGCTACCAAAAGACCGTCTCACGTGCTTTGACCGCCCTAAATGACCACGTGTCAATTTCTAGTTAGATGGCCGCCAACATCCCGTCATCGCTTATTAATGTTGATACATTTTTGTGAAAGACCAAAAATAAGCATACATGTATATATCCTTTTTTAGAGTAGCTTTAAAAGAAATAATTAGAGCTGCATGATTGACAATAATAATCTTTTTTTTTTGTTTATCAAACACTATTACAAGAAAGGGAACGACAAAATTTGAATCTGTAATCTGAAAATCCAATAACGAGGGTGGGGATACCATTAGACCAACTGTTGACCTACAATGAACTAAGTTGAAGAAGGTCTTATGGTCACACGATTTTTCTTTTTTCTTTCTATTTTTTGCTAGAAGCGAAGTGAGTTGAGTGTTGGTTAGTAATGTTAACTAGTTAGTAATATTTATATTAATTTTATTTCTCAAATAAAAATAGGTGGGTGGATCAATAGATTTTAGTAGAAAGATTGATGGAATTTATTGATTTGATATTTAGGATAATTAATAATTATACCCTTATAGTAGCACTTAATTCATATTTAGTCTCTGAAGTTCTAATTTTAATAATCAAATTCTAAAAATTTTAACTGAATTTAATTTAGTATTTATATCCAATTTATTTATTTTTTTTTGAAAAAATGACTGATCAACAAGTGATTTGGGTAAAAAAGTATATTTTTTAATAAAAAAAATATAACTTCACTCCATTTAATTATGAGAGATAAAGATAATAAATTCAACAAAAAAAGGTACATTTTTAATAAAAAAAAATATAACTTCATTCCATTTAATTATGAGAGATAAAGATAATAAATGCAACAAAAAAAGGTACAGAGTGACAATTTTAAAATTAGATAATACACACGGACATTGCATTTCATGTGAACTATTTTGAAAATCTAATATTTTTATATCGTTGTTCCAAAAATTATGAAACAAAAGAGAAAAGTTTTCCTCGTCGAAGCAATTATGAGAAGTGATAGATTTGCGCTGTTGTGTTTTAATGGTGTGATAGTATATCCTTCATCATGGCGCTTTTTTGCTTCTAATACTTTTCTTTATAGAAACAATTGTATATAGGTGAATTTTTCTCGATGGATGGATCAGCCAAATAGGAAACTAAAAATCAATGTAACTTGCACAAAATCTTGGGATTCTTTATAAACTTCAACCAATATGCTCACCAACAACCCAAAACGTAGAATAATTCAAAGAGGTAACTTCTATTACAAAAGCTAAAGAGTTTCAGCAAACTACGTGGGTGGATTTAGGGATAGAGTCAGAAATTTTGTTTAGAGTGGGTACTTTACGCACTCTAATCTTTTTCCTTATAACTAATCACAATATATATAATATATTTATATTTATTATATCATATTTAATACATGAAGTCCATTTAACATAACAAAAATACCAAAAAAATAATGTATATGTATAAAAAATGAACAATTATCACAATTGTAAAAAAATTGATCTAATTGTCATTTTTGTAGTTAACAAAACTCAGTTATTCACTAACAACCCACTAAATTTATTCAATAAACGATGTTCTAAATAATTATTGAAATATTAGCATAATAAAACTAATAAACTAAAATTTAAGAGCTAAATGCAGTAAAAAAAATTGAAATTAAATTGACACATAATAAAGATTATAATTAATACTCGAATAAAAGTAGAGATAATTTTTCATAGAATAAAAAAGTTAAATGAATGTCAATTACAAGAACTTTCACTTGTAAAAATTTAGAAATAATAAAATTGAAGTCACCTGGAGAAAGTCTTAATACAATAAGAAAGACTAAACAATTGATATAAGAAAATTATAGGGTGAGAATAAGTAAAAAATATATGTATAATTTTTAAAAAAATATAAATATGAATATACATATAATATTTTTTAAAAAAAAATTGAGGGTGGGGGTGGATTCACCTTCCTGTTGTGCGTTGCTTACTTATGATCCATTTCTAGAAGTCATTCAAATGATTTGTTATTCGAAAGACTGAAAAACAGAGAAAGAATTGAAATGTGTTTGAAGTATTTGGCAAAGAACATATGGGACTTCAAAAGGAAAACCTTCAATTTCCCGAAAAAGTTACATTGTAACTTCGACATCTATCTGCTGCATCAAGTTCTTTACAGTGGTTTTAGAAATTCTTCCTTGGCGATAAGTTTGAACGATCATCCCTTTTCTAGTGTTCCAATCCATTATATGTTTTTCCAGTTTCCTAAATGTTACACATGATGCTTAAGACGAGGTCGCTCGTTCCAATCGAAGTTTTCCACATTTAGAAAGGATGCTGGATTCATTGATCGATTGAGTAAAACTTATAAAGAACATAAAATTTGTTTCTTGAAGAGGGCCCAAATTTGCAAACACAACTAACAAATGCCAAATGCAATATTGTAACCTATTTACCGCTACAAGAAAATACCCGAGCCTAAAGAACAAACTTCATTGATTCTAATTGCCGCGTGCAATCTAAGTTAGAACCAAGTTGCTTAC